ATCTTGTATAAGGCCTAGGAAGTGGAAAAACGCAATCCTGATGTATAAAAATACAACTGCGTGAAACACACATGTGTATAAAAATTCAACTGCGTGAAATACACAGTAGTATGAAACTTCAACTGCGTGAAACACACAGATGTATAAAAATACAACTGCGTGAAACACACAGCAGTATGAAAATTCGGCTGCGTGAAACACACAAACTTCACGCATGCGTGGAGTGTATGGAGTGTACGGGAGTGATTCACGCAATGGTGCGAATAGTCACGGCCTATTAATATTCCGAACCTCCAGTTGCCAATTTTCTCTAAATGATTGATTGAAACTCGCAACTTGACGTCTGCCAATCTGGCCGTCAATTCGACCATTTGACCCATAGAACGACAGTGGCTCGCACCGACCAGTGACCCCCACCGAGGAAAAATCCAATTCGATTCGACAAATACAAGAGTTACCGAGTGTTCAAGCAAGAAACCAACACGATGAACGCAAACGTCAAGTTTACTGGGTGCGTGACCCCGTGTATCTGAGCCCCAATACATCGGATTGTCTCTCCACCGGCGGTATTGGCACGCGGCCTTGCTCCCAAGACCGTACGAATTAGCCCCAATACCCTCTGCGCATTTTTTCGCCCTTGAGTATTTAAATAGAAAATTATTCGGCCGGGTTATTGGACTCTGCCACGACCACGCGTGGGCCATCGCATTGACACTGCAGGTGACACTCGTGTTAACTCGATAATCTCGCTGATTAATAAATCATCAAGTGTATCATCATCAAGTGGATTTTCCTGCTTTTTACCCAATTACAGAGAATAATTCAGTAGCACAGTGATAAAACGGTTCAAGTCGACTCATCTCCCAGTTGAGTTTTTGAGGAATATTTCCGAATCTAAGGGAGATAGCGAAATTTTTATTATGACCTTTTTTGTAGAGCCGATTGAGAGCTACAACAAATGTAATTACGAAAATTGCGCTATCTCCCTTAGATTCGGACATATTCCTCAAAAACTCAACTAGGAGACCAGTCGACTTAAACCGTTTTACCGCTTCGCTACTGAATTTCACTCGAATCTGTGAGAATGAATTGGTGATTCGTCGAAAAAGTCATGTATAATTTCAAAACTAATAATTTTATAATAATACCGTTTTAATCCCTCATGTTCTCCATATTTTTCCCCCCGAATCGTTCGCCGGGGCCTTCAGAAAACCCCGATGAACACAGACTCCCTGAGCCGTGAATCCCAGTATTTTCATTATTTTTACAACAACGAAAAATGCCCAATTGGGCCACCATCGCGTCGGCTATCGCCTTTAAGTATTGATCGTGTACTCGGAGCCAAGCCCCTCTTTCTGCTCTCCACGTAGTGGCACGGTAGCATTACCCCGGCTATCATTGACGACAGAAAAATGCGTTAATCAAGAGTACTTTATTAATATTCATTACTTCACGATAAAACGCAGCGC